CTTCCAATTACTCTTCTAAAAATATATTTGTCTTTAATTAAAAAAATAAAAAAAGTGCAGTGCAGCTAGTCCCTTGTCGGTCATAAACACTTTATTTGATCTATTACTGACCATTAGCACATTTTGGCAGGCCAAGAATAAGGTCTAGCACTGCTATTATTTGCATAGTTAACTGTTTTAGCTTTGCCAAGGTAATTTGTAAAACTGAAATTAAACTTGTACCGTAGGTAATAATAGCATTTTATCAATTCAAATGAGATGCAGGGAGCCTTTATGGCTCTGGGTGGTAAATTACAATTTTGCCAGGAAACATGTACCCAGTGGCTTTGTGATTGACTGATTATTGAGGATATCCAGCAGGCACTCAGCCAGTGGTGTATGCATAAGAAATACATACCTTGTTGATTTTTTTTCTTCACAGAATATATGCAGAAGCAGATTTTTTCCTATACTGTGAGTAAGGCATAGGAGGCCAAATCTTATACTCTACCATTTATAGCCTACTATTTATTGAGCATTTGATTTTTTGGGCATTCTCTTGGGTATCGTTGCAAATGTTGCTAATTAAGAACCCAACAGGAAGTAAACAAAAAAAATCAAGCTTTTAAGCTGTTAAAATCAAAGCTGTATGTGGAAGTACTCCAATGTTCATTTATTTATTTCCTGGAGTGTGACATCTCTACATGACAGAAAGAGATTTACAGCATTAATAAGCATAAAATAAGTCAAAACTTTACTTATTTATGTGTACACAGCATGTGGGAGTCTAACTGTTGGAAACAACATGTCAAAATCACTTATTACCTTGAAATTGTACTGCAGTGCAAAATAAGTGTCCTGCAGTGTGACATGCTGTACTCCATCTGAACTGTTTTACAAATCTTTCTAATTGTATTATAATTAATTATTGTGCATTCCGGTTCCAAAACCTCAAATGATGAAATATATAATTTTTAACCTAAAAAAAAACAAAAACAAAACAACAACATATGTATGTCCATGTTCAACTACCCTTCTGCATTTCAGCATGTAAATACCAGAATTAATTACTTCAACAACTTTGACCAGTCAATTTAACATCAACCTATTATGAGAAAAAGGTGAACAAGGTGTAATATCAGAGAAATGCCTATAAAGCAAATGTATTATCATTAATTTTTAGATACCAGAGCGCATGAAGACTATTTTGCCTGACAGGAACAACAATAAAACTAAATAGATCAAACTGTTTAAAAAATGTGTGCAATCTTTAGTGGCAAAATGCAGATAAAATGCATAAAACAATTATGATGCAAACACAAAAACTTCCGCCTACTGTCTGTGATTATTCATCTATACTGTAGTTGGCATGTACTGGCATTTAAAAAAAAACATATAAAGGCAGCTATATGTTTTGATTGAGATATCTGGAAAATATTTATTTTGCATTAACTTGACACGCACTTTATTTGTTAAATTTGTATATAAAATGTATTTGTCCAGAAATACAAATCAATTTTTACAAATACAGCAAATGTTGTCCAAATAAATAAATACAAGTTGTCCATGTTCAACTATTCTTCGGCATTTCAGCATGTAAAAACCAAAACTAATTATTTGAACAACTTTGTCCAATCTATCGAATACTAATTGACCTTTTATGCAAAAAGGCAAGCAAGGTATAATATGTTAGGGTGACCATACGTGCCATTTTCCCAGGACGCGTCCTGGGAAAATGGCACGTATGGTCACCCTATAATATGTTGGATTTTAGTGCCCTATACACAGTGTTGGGGAGTAACTAGTTACATGTAACGGAATGACGTAATTTAATTACAAAATAAATGTAATCAGTTACAGTTACTGAGAAAAAGTGTGTAATTAAATTAAAGTTACTTATGAAAATGTTAACGATTACAAAGGGGGTTACATCTGAATATTTTCACACACCCACATACCGATTTAATTGAATTATTTTATAAATTGCACTGAATGCTCTAAAATATGAGACATCAATGTTTCAGGAGTTTAGGACACATGCGTATTTGATAACTATTTTATTTCCTATTTGGTGTATGTATTCGCTTTGTTTTTTAAGATTAAAGGGGTCATATGACGTTGCTAAAAAGAACATTATGTTGTGTATCTGGTGTAATGCAATGTGTTTATGCGGTTTAAGGTTCAAAAAGCATCATATGACCCCTTTAACTGTTTTTCCAAAGCATTGTTAGATTCCAGTGTTTCCTGTCATAACTATGCAAAGATTTGATTTCAAAAACAGTATTACAGCTATTAAACTATTTCTTGTTGTGATTTTAAATCTGTATTTAACCTCAGAATGGTCTCAAAGTAAAAAGGAGAAAGTGACTATGTAGAATTACATATTAATGAAGTTTTTAAGTCCCAAGTAATTCCTCTCTTTCCGCAACCACAGAGAGTGTCTGTAGGGGATCTATTATTCAGTCAAATTAATGAAACGAAAGTGCAAGGATCAGGTAGCCTGAGACACAGCATCGTGTGTTCTTGTTTAATAAATGTCCCCTGAATCCTTATGGGAATGAGGGAGGTGAAAAGGGTCTCCGAGAGGCCTGTTATCAGTCCGATTCTCATCTCGGCTTTTACACATCCTCTGCGCCTCTGATTCACAATCTTTTTTAAAGTGCACACAGTCCGGTTATTGTCGCTACCCATCCCCGCTTTCATCAGTATCTCCCTCTCCTGTTTGATTGAGACAGTCTTACAGTTTTCCATGAATATCCTCCGCCACATAGTCTACAACCCCCACCCCTCACATACCGACAGCACAATGCAATTATTGAACCGTGGCAGTACCAAGGCCTCATCATTTAGATTTCATTTGGAGAAAACCAAGGCAAGTTCCCAACGGTCCAACTTTGATTCATTTAGGGTTGGAAGATTCACTTTTCAAAGCCCAGTGGAGCTCCTCTTTTAAATTATGGATGCAAACAGGAGGAACTTGTCAACAAATGATAACAACGTTGGACTAATTCCTGCTGCAGATGATCGGAAAAATAGCTATAAAGCGAATGTATTACTATTCATTTTGATGTAACTGTGTGTCTGTTGGCTATGTTTTGCCTGACTGGAACAAATATAAAACTGAAAAGATCAATCTCAGCTTACAAAGTTGCAGTTTTTTTGTGGTAAAATGCAGATAGTGCATTAAAATTTATGATGCAAACAGAAAAAACGTCTGCCCACTGCCTGAGATTATTCATCAACACTCTCATAACTTTCATAGGTATGTAGTGTGTCCTGGCATTAAAAACAGAACAAAAAGCAATTGGAAATTGTTGTTGGTGTTAATTAAGCTAAGGACCTCCAAATATGATGACAAGGCCTTCCTATAATACAAAGGCCGCTATCTGTTTTCAAACGTAAATAATTGGCTTTTATATTATAATTGTACTAAAACTAAAATACATCATTAAAACGTCTGGTAAATATTTAGTTTGAATTTATTTGATGCTGCATCTTATTTTTCTACTTAATAGGTTAATACTGTATGTATAAACATGAAAATAAACATTTTCAATTTAATTAAAATTTATTTGTATTTGTATTTCATTCAAATTCATTTGTTTAGCCATTTTTTTGCACTTTTTCTATACATGGTGATAGGAGGAAAACTGCCCACAAACTGTATTATAGTAAGTGAATGACATTAGCTTTATATAGTGTAATGTAACAGCTAAAAACACTTGAAATTACATGAAAGTGAAGACAAAGTGAAACTGGACCATTTTGCATTCAGAAAGCACATTATAAGCAAACTGCTAAGATCTTAGATGGTCTAAGTTCATCTGGAGTGTTAACATACAACTCAACATTCCTGAATCTAATCAAGTATCATCTAGAATATTAATGCTTCCCTGGCTCAGAATATCCTGAAGTTAAGGCATTCCATTTGATCTGTGCTTTGCCTAATTTACGTCCCAGCCAAGGAAAAAAAAACAAAAAAAAAACATTCTAATCCAGGTCACTCAAGCTGTATATGCCCAAGTCTTACATTACAAAGATTCATTGCCAAGCATTACTGTCTTCACAGCTCTCGCTCAATTAAGCTTGCATTACTTAATACTGTTCACTCAAGAGAGACACCTTCAGAGAAATCTGCAAATGAAACAATAGATGAATCAGAGCTAAGCCTCTCTCTCCAGTCCCTCCTGCTCTTTAAATGAAGCTGCGTTACAACTGCAGTTCGGTGAACACATTGATTTTACACAGTGGAGGGGATGGGCATTCATTCACTAGGGCGAAGGGGTGGAAAAAAAGATTATTTAATGATTAATTAGGCAAAGACGCAGACTAATGAAAGCAAGGCAAAAAATATAAAAATCCCCAATGTGCAGATTGAAGGGATAGTTCACTCAAAAATGAAACTCTCATGTCGTTTTAAACCAGTATGACTTTCTTTCTTCTGTCGAACACAAAAGAAGAATGTGAAGAATGTTTCAACTGCTTTGTTCATACAATAAAATCAGTGGGGTCCAAAACAACATTGGACTCCACTGATTTTCATTGTGTGAACAATAAAAATACTACACTAAGACATTTTACAAAATATCTTCTCTTGTATTCCACAGAGGAAAAAAGTTTAGAAGACATGAAGGTGACTTTTGTGAGGATTTTGTGATGACTTTTTTGATTTTCAGATGAACTATCCTAAGTATGTCCCTCAGAGTGTGTGTTGCTCCTGGTGTCAGACATTCTACATGAGCTGTGTGAAGTACAGAATCATGTCAGGGTGGTGTTGTACCTGTATCTGGGTCACATTGGTGCTCACAGGGGTCCAAGAGACGGCGGCCACACAGATCATTGACCCAGGGGCCACTGGCATTCTGCTGGTAGTACAGCAGCACCTGGGCTGGGTTCAGCCAATCAGATGCGTCCAACTGGCTGCCCTGAAGCAGAACGAATCTGGAGCCTGAAAGAAAAGAATCAGAGAGGACATCTGTCAAAAGTTACATCAAGTAAATTAGTGAACTCTATTAATGAACTCCAAAATGACCACAGTAACACAAACAGCCAATTTTTGTTGGTGTTCAGAATATGAACCATACACTGGAAGCTACAAATAGACTCTGTATTTAACTGTGGTACAGAAATGTTTAGATTTATTCACTGATTGGCTAAGAGACTGTTTCAACAGGTTTTCATCTTTTTGTGTGTTTTAAGTGAGTCACTGATTCATTTATTCAACTGATTCGTTAACCAAAACCACTCTAATTGTTCGCTATAAGATTTGTGTGTCAAATTAACAGTACTTAGAGACTCAAGAAAGAGTGTTTAAGCAGCATGATTGCTTTTCCCCCACAACTGTTATGCATAAAACTGTTTTGGACTTTTTAAAGCAAAGCAAAATCCTTATAGCTGAAATTCTATGCATTATACACATTTTTCAATGTTTTATACTTCATGCACAGCTGTGGATAGGATACAACGGTACAGATAAAACATCTGAACTGAAAGTGTAATGTATTCTGAATTACCCCTCTGAATATTTCAAAACCATGAACGCCAATGGAATGTATTCTGCAAAAATCAAGTTTTATCAGATCTGCTTTGACATCAAGTTTTACCCTGTAATACTGTTAGACAGTTATAGACACATCTTAAATCTGATTTTTCCAATTCAAAAGGCGAACTGTGAATCCTTCAAGTCTCCTCTTTTCAGATTTCTTCCACTTAGACATCTATGTGAATGTTAATCTACCCTAAAGCCCCAGACCCCATAGAAAAGAGCTCTGCATGAAAGACAAAATGATAGATGAGCAAAGCCAGTCACAATCCATCATATCTCCCAAACTCTAGAGCTGACGGCTGAAATGCCAATGAGCTGAAAGAAAGAGAGAGGAAGAGCAAGAGAAAAGAGGGTAAGAGAGAGAGAGAGAGAGAGAGTGGCCTGTAGGCTTGGACTGCAGGTGCAACATTAAAATTCAATAACAAGCTCATTCAACACAAATGCAACTTAAGTCCAAAGCACAAACAGAGGACCCTTGGGGAAAGCGGCTAGTTGTTGTTTACAGATGGGCATACATGTGTGTGTCTGGGAGTGCAGTTCTAGGGAGTAACTAACTAAAAGTAGCACCACTAACTTAACAACATTTTTCATAGCGTGACAACAGCTCAGTTGTTTTCAAAATAATGTTGCATTTTCCAGTCACTAACTACTTTTTTCCAACAAGGAAAGGGCGTCTGGCAGAGCGTTAGGACCCAGAAGCGGTGAAGCATGATGTCAGACGTAACAAGCAGATATCCGTAACCATTCCTATCCAACCGTGCATCTGCTATGAGCAAGAGGTGGAGTGGAGGTGCACCACAATATAGCCTCGCCCTGTATTCAATATTCAGTTTCACCTGGGTTAAGGCTAGAAGGGATACATATGGCGCTACTGGGCATGCGCACAAAAATACAGTGTAATTTTTGTCACACTGTACAACAATAATTAATATTTTTTGCATTATTGTAAGGGGTAGGTTTAGGGTTGGGGTAGGTGTAGACATTAATAAAAAACAATCTAATAGGTAGAAAATTAAATTTCATTGTTAGTTGTCCTGTCGGAGCTGTATCCCTTCTAGCCACAACCTTTCACTTGGAAATACATCATAACACTGAAGTCAGTTGCAACTTCCGATTCACGGGTACTTTACTATTCATATTTTTCAAGGTATTGAAGTTAGAAATCAAATTCCTGTATCATGACCACTAATTCACGTATTTGTCAATAAAATAAAAGTGGGTTTTATTCAAAGTAGCTATTATCCACATAGGTCTTTGATGTGAATGAATATTTTTTGGTAATTCATTAAATATCGCCGGCTAAAAAGTAACTAGTAACTAGCACTCTGAGTAGTTTTTGAGAAGAGTACTTTGTACTTTTACTTAAGTACTGTTTTGGCACCAGTACTTTTACTTGTACTGAGTATTGAGTATTATTTCAGCAATGTAACAGTACTTGTACTTAAGTACAAATTTTCAGTACTCTTTCCACCACTGACAAGTAGCAGTGTAGCTTGACAAAATGCTACATCACAGTTTTCTCATCTCACACACACAGCCAAGCAGGCTAAGGAAATAATCAATCAATAGTCTTTTCTCTCATTCAAACTCTCAGTTGAATCAGTCTGTTTGGATTCAGTGATTCATGTACTAATGGTTCAATAATGATTCATTTCGATTCGAGTCCCTGTGCAGTCACTTTTGAAGCAACATTTTTATTTAAACTCTAGTTTTAGTTCAAATGTTTTTGTTTTGTTAGGTTGTTTCTAGTTTTATTTTACCTAAAAATATGAATTGTAGGGTTAAAGGTTGCTTTTTACATCTCAGCACAGTTTGTACCACATTCTGTTTGGATAAGAAAAATTATTTAGTTTTATTCAAAAGATAGATACACTATCGTTAAAATACATTCATTTTAAAAAGACAGATCATTTTAATTTAAAAAAAAGATTCTGAAAGCTTCTTACACTTCTTAAAGGAGTTCCCATATTAATTTAATGTCGACTAACTTGACTAATAGCCCCACTAATAGAGGAAATGTTTAACATCATTAACAATGTCTCCACAATGGTTTAAATATATATTTCCTTATTTTAACAATTATTATTTGATACATACATTTATAACATAATTTTTTTTTAAATATCAGATCAACTTAATGCAGAATTGACTTTGTGTTGATGATCGCAATCACTTCAATGATCAGATAAATTTCCAAGTGCATAATGAAACGCGGATGTGTAGGAAAGTGCTGCGGTGAGTTTTTGTGGTTTAGAGCGAAATAAAACCAAATGTGCCTTTTACTCCGGTGCCCCGTTGCACCCTATAATTTAATATTTTTATATCTACAAATATATTGCCTCCTTCAATATATTTTTTATAGTAACTTGTAGTAAAAGTGGGGCTTTCATAATAACTTGCCTATCATCTCAAGTTAGCTAACATGCTAAAGCTAACAGCAACACCAAATGAGTCCAAATGTTTGTCTGAAAATCTTCTGTGCCAAAATTAAAAATAAACTTTAGTCTTTCATTTGAGACTCTTAAAAAATGCATTCACTAGATGCCCAAGTACATAGTGTAGTGTAAGTGCATGGTGTATAGCCTAGTACATGATTTGAAACACAACTAGAGACTAAAGCATTTGCTTCTGATTGTTCTTTGATGCTTTCAGCACACATCTGTTTGGCTTTTCACTAGAGACAGCGCAAGAGTCGGCATAACATTTGCTTTAATACAGTAGAAATCGTGAGGGGTAGACGGGGGGCCGAGGACCCCCGCTGCTCAGGGGCCAGACGGGAAGCAGAGCAGGTGATGAGATTACCGTCTGCAATGAGGTGTTCTGGAACGTGGAGTATGACTCTGACGTTGAGGCTACAGGAGAGGTGAGACGCGCAGACCAGGCCGATCACACAGCTCACCACGCTGATCAAAGTCAGGGTGGTCTTGTTGATAGGGCTCCGTGGGGAACCTAGGGAGAAGAGAGAGAGAAAGCAATAAAAGAGCGATGCTACAAGACTGGAAAGTTCACATTTTTAGGTGTAACTTGGAAAGGCACAAGGGAGGTAGTTAAAAAACTGCCCACATCAGTATTGGTGGTCCATGAAAGGAGCACTGGATCAAACCAGCCAGCCAAACTCTGGGAGCAGTGGCAGCTTTGGCACAAATAGAGCAGCGGAGAGACAACGCTTTACCTTTTGAAGTCTGCTGCTTTTATGCTAAATACTTCAAATGGCAAAATATGAAAAAGAGCTGTTTTTGACCACATTTTTGTAATACAGCCAAACTGGTTTGGTATAGTGCTGCCCTGTACATCTGTTACATGTAAAATAAAGGCACAAGACACTGCACTATAACAACACACAAGATGACATAAACACACCCATTCACAATGTATGAGGACACAATACTGATGATCAGATATTGTCATCTACAGTAGCTAATTAAATTAAATTAAATTAAATTAAATTAAATTAAGTTGAGTTGAGTTGAGTTGAGTTGAGTTGAGTTGAGTTGAGTTGAGTTGAGTTGAGTTGAGTTAAGTTAAATTGAGTTGAGTTGAGTTGAGTTGAGTTGAGTTGAGTTGAGTTGAGTTGAGTTGAGTTGAGTTGAGTTGAGTTGAGTTGAGTTGAGTTGAGTTGAGTTGAGTTGAGTTGAGTTGAGTTGAGTTGAGTTGAGTTGAGTTGAGTTGAGTTGAGTTGAGTTAAGTTAAATTAAATTAAATTAAATGTAGCTAATTAAATTAAATTAAATTAAATTAAGTTGAGTTGAGTTGAGTTGAGTTGAGTTGAGTTAAGTTAAGTTAAGTTAAATTAAATTAAATTAAATTAAATTAAATTAAATGTTCCCTCCTGGTGGAATGACCTGCCCAACTCAATCCGAGCAGTTGAGTCCTTAGCCCTCTTCA